CGAATTTATAACTTGTGTTGGGCATGGCCGTGGTCTAGGCAACACGGAGTTTTTCTCCGTGGCATCCCAACAATTACTCATTACTCCATACACACAGAAGAAGGCAATGGCAAACCACTTCTGGATCATCTGCCAAGAACGTATATGAACAGGTCCCAGTCCGAGAAAAGGATGGAAGGATCCTGTTCATAATATGTCGCCAACCTCCTGTAAAGGAGACAGTGTAATAAAGAAGAATGTGTACGGCGTTGCAGACCTGCTGCTGTTGTCATACTTGGACTGGGCACAGTCATATTGTCATCGAACATTCTTCGTTTTCTGTTCATAATTCAATCATCCACTGCCTCACGGACAAACCTTACATGGGGATTTGTTCGTGAATGCTGCGTTCAGACTCATATGAATGAATTGTTTCTTTTAGGGGATCTTTGCATATCTGAAGATAGGCTGAATGAAAAACGATCACCGAATGATTTTGCTCTGTGGAAGAGGTCAAAGGCAGGTGAACCTTGGTGGGATTCACCATGGGGTCATGGGCGACCTGGTTGGCACATCGAGTGCTCTGTCATGGCTTCAGTTATATGTGGCGACTCATTGGACATTCACACAGGTGGAGTCGACCTCAAATTCCCACATCATGACAACGAACTGGCACAAGCTGAGGTAAGATGCATTCGGTTTCATCAACTGACTTCTTTCTATAATTTTACTGTTGCTTGCTTGATTATTTCTGAAGTTTACTTATGTATTTCAAAATTATATCTGCTTTTTAATATCATCGTCTCTGTCAGAAACTTGTGACATGATGTTTCTGAATAATGAATTCTTCTCGGGCTATCAGCTGTGTCAGGTGGTTTAATGGAGAAAGCGCCAACATTTCAAGAACCGTCTTCATCCTCAAAGTACTTCAGAGTACCCTGAGTACGATGATGAAGATGGTTTTTGAAATGGTGGCGTTTTCTCCATTAAACCACCTGACACAGCTGATAGCCCGAGAAGAATTCATTATACTTTGTCACTGTGAAAGCTTCAGGTAATACTTAATGTTTCTCTGTTAAATGACAACGGTTAAAAGTATCTTTGAACTTGAATGGTGTGAGCAGAATGTCTTACCAACCGATGACACTGCATGCCTGACAACAGTCATTCATAGTGCGCGGTGTGTTAAGTCTTTAACTTTTGTGACACACCATATTCTGCGCACACACAGACTTGGTGGGTGTCGGTTTGTCCCAGAATGCACTATGAGGTAACCACCAAAATTTGAAATGTGACATAACACACTATACACACGCATGGCACACATTTTTGTATCAGATGGAGTGGGTAACTCGATTGTCATACTTCTTCTATGGCTCTCCGGTCCGTATTCGGTCCATGGCCTCAATTCTCCTCTTCCATTCGGTCCTCTGTTAGGTCCGTCTGTCCGAGGCTTTGATCGAGGTTTTGAAACATCTTCCTTTTTACGGTGTAAGGTTGTTAGCCTTGCGACCAACCCCCAACCTGGAGGACCAGGGTACCTGTCTTAGTCTGACCTCTCCCCCTCGACCAATCTGGCTAGGGAGGCCCTACCAGTAGCTGTGCCACCGTCAGCAATAGCTCTTGGGGTCTCTGAGGTACTCAAGCCCCACCACCACCACCGATTGTCATACAATCAATAAAATCTTCTCGGGCAATCAGCTGCGTTAGCCACGGTAACCAGATAACGCGGCTGATTGGCCGAGAAGATTTTATTGATTGTACTCGCCACAAAAGTCTCAAATCCTATATCGATTGTCACAGCTTTTTGACTAATACATGCTGCGTACCCACGTGACAGTTATTTTCAATCATGTCGTCGGCTGCCGGCAACATGATGAAGCAAAGGGTCCTTGGCTATCCCCCACCAACATCACGTGCTGCTCGTTCTTCTGGTGGTCACTGAATTATGAATCACTGTGCGATTTTTTTTCAGGCTTATTTTGATAATGACAACTGGGTGAGGTATTTCCTTCATGCTGGGCATCTAACCATCTCAGGATGCAAAATGTCAAAGTCCTTAAAGAACTTTGTTACAATCAAGGATGCTTTAACTAGACACACTGCCCGCCAGCTTCGCATCGCGTTCCTTCTTCATTCTTGGAAGGACACGCTTGACTATAGCAACAACACGATGGAGATGGCAGTGCAGTATGAGAAATTGTTTAATGTAAGTATTTAGTTTTTATGATTTTGTTTCGCTGTCTGGCATGTTGTTAAAGGACAGATGCTCGGTCATCCTTATATTTTATCTCAAATTTTAATTGTGTCTTTTGAGTGTGTGTGCGCATGCGCGCATTGAATTGAATGTATTATTTAACATAATGGCAACACATCTTTGGTAGAAATGACAAGTGTGTGTGAGCTGTCACACGTTGCTGAGCAAATGGACCCTTTTTTTTTGCAACATAATGAAATTGCATCGTATTCCGCCTCAAATATCCGAGGACTGCAACTCCAAGTTTAATACTTTTGAGGTGGTAATGTGTACATTGTTTCATGCTTACATCTTTTAGCATTTCTATGATGTGCGACATCGTACGAGGTGCGATCGGAAAGTTTCAAGACTGCGCCTATAAAAACCCGTACACTTATCTCAGGTATTAAATTCATCCATCACCCTCGAAGTAGTTCCCCTGGGAGTGAACACAACGA